TTTTTTTGTTTTGATGAAGCTGCCTTATTTGTGGACGATGGAGTAGCGACAGCTGAAATCCTCCCCGGCAATGCCGGCGGAAAGACGGGCGATACCGTATGTGTGTACTGGTAACATAAAATCTGTACATATCTGGCTGGTAAACATTTTATTTATTATTGTAATTTATTATCGTTGTACATATTATATTTCGCCATGTTGACCGGTAACCGTCCAGTGGAGCCATTGGGGTCTAGGCATGGTTGTTTAAACACATTTTTATTATTATACTATACGTATCTGTTGTGCCTCGTCATTTGCTCGTTGTGTAAGCTATTTTTATTATGTCCGAGTTTTACGCCCTGTTGAGCTTTCTCGGCACCAACTTCCAATATATCATTTTTTGCACATAACTTCCGTGTCTTGAGTTATTATTATTATTATTAGTATTACCCTCGTTATTAACTCTTCCTGGTGTATGCATTTATTATTGTGAATAATCAAATCCACGGTGCTCCGACCTATCCAGGTCTCGGCTCGTGGTTGGCGACCTTGCTAAAAAGCGGCGGTCGGCCACGGGGGCAGTTCGATTCAACAGTTTTGTTGGGTCGGTCCACGATCGAACTGTCACAGCCTATAAAAAAACTCATGGCTATGTATTTTTAATATATTTCAATTACGGTTGTAACAATATATCAGGGACCATATATAATTAATTTTTCAAGATTTTTTAACTCTTTACTCTGCGGATCTAAAATTTCGAAGTAACATATTCACAATATTTTATGAGCGTAATATGTATATTATTTGATGTTTAAAGTTTAAAGTTTATATAATAAATATAATTTAGCCGATTTGTTTGATGTGTAAATGTATAATGTACCATATACGTATAAATGTATAATATAATAGTCCAAAAAAACAAACGTAATATCAATCAACAAACAAAGTACTGAGAGACTGAAAGACTAACTTGTTTTAATATCATACTGATGCCGAAAGTATGTATATCCTACTGGCTACCATTAATGCCTATACGATAAAATAAAAGATGTTAAAAAATACGTCCTTACCAACGAAATATATTATGTATTTATTTATCTTAATCTGGGGCTTATAAGTTACAACAATTTGCATTATCACATTTTCACAGCGTATGGATAATAAATTCTTAAAATATTGCCTAATCAATGCGCCTTATAAAATGATCGTGTTTTCCAGAATAACAATAATAATACATGTAATACGTGAAAAGTACTTATAGATTTCACTTAGAACGTTTTTTTTTTAAAGAATTATGTTAAATTTATAGATTTTAAAGTTGGGTCTTGTGATAAAAAAAAGCCTGAAAAGTTTATTTACTATTTATTATTTACCACATTCCTGTTTGATATACAAATACCATACCTATACGATACGTTACAATACATATTGTATTAAGGTTTGAAAATTAAGTATAAGTAAGTAGCATAGAATTACAATTCAAATTCATTAGCAGAAATCCAATACAATTTCATGGGGGGGGGGGGTTGCCAACATTTTTAACATCAATGTGAGCGGGAATTCTTCGATCCCGCTCAATTTAAAAAACCGTATACTTTAAGGTCGGCCTAATAGGATATTTAGGGGGGGGGGGTAGTTAAGCCCCAGTGATTTACGCCAACGAATGACATAAAATGTGAGCATAGCGTATTAGTGTACAGCTCTTTAGGGAAATAATTTATAATAACTTATACAGAAATGAAGGTGTAAATGTGTAATGTGTTATAACATAGAATGTATGTATGTAGTTAATAAATGAATAACTATTTTATAAGAAGTTGTTATAGTAGTTTTAAACAAGTAATAGCTTTGAATTGTTGAACATTTTTTATCACTTAGGTATCAACAAATTATTGTATAGGTAACATGTTTAAAATGTTTAAATAGTTTGTATGTTGTATGGTAGTAAAATAATTTGAATCTCAACTTCTTTTTTAACAATAGATAGTTAGAATATATGGGATTTTGTATTATAAACCTTCTCAAGACCTAATCATAATAAATTAACACATACTTAAGTGAACCTTATAATTGTATTCACCTATCTACTTACTTTTTATTTGACGTGAGTAGCATGTTAAGTTAAAAATGTATACAATTGTAATATACTTAAGTTTATGTGTTATCTTTCCTTGATTTTTTTGAGTATAGTATTAAGTATAGACATATTGTGCTTGACGTCAATGTGAATTAATTGAAGGGGTACTTAATTTATTAGATTAAATTTTTTTTTCTACTAGTTTCTACCTTAATGTTATGTGAAATTTTGTAGTTGTAAGTTTCTATAATACATTATTTATTAAAATAAACCTAATGCTTGATTTCATATAGTTATTAATAATATACATAATAATATTAGGTTACTACTCGGGTATTATACAACATTACAATATAATATGACAATATACAATAAGTGTATCATATACACTCCAAATGCATAACTGCTTAAAGAAAAGTAGTACAATTCTACATGTGTGATTTATCATACCTATTTAACTATATAATGCATACAAGGCAATGGTCATACAACTAAAATAAAATCAACTCAGGCAATAATTTTTTATTAAATAAAATAATATACAAGTTATTATTTTGTTAAATATTAAACTATACACACCAATTTAAAGTCAAAGAAATAAGAACTAAGTAAGACAAATAGATAAAACATTTAATTATTCAATATTTATCATACATAAATTAATATTAAATATTACATTAAAACCTAATAGATAAGAAATGAAAAAAAAATGTTATAAGAAAATAATTATTGCAGTCTAAAGTCTTCAAATTTCAAATTTAGTTTTGGTACATACTTTATAATGATGTCTTTCTTCGAAATATGTTGGATTGAGTTCTAGTTATCTAAAAAAATTTAAATAAAATGATAGTCATTAATAGTATATGTAATAAGATCATTAAGATAATGATATGATGTATGATAATTTAAATAAGAAATATATTAATAAGAGGCTTGCAAATGAGCAAAAATTTTAAAATGTTTAATGCTTTTTGAGTTATCAATTGATGAAAACATTGAGTCAACATAGGGATGAAGAGTTTTGGGGTCAGTAAAAATAAAGACTAAAATAATGGATATGCTAGTTTAAGTTTTTATAATTTGATTTATAAAAATTAAGTGTCACTCGATTTTGTAGACTTATCGAAGCTCTGATTGTATATGATCAAGTAACCTAATTTAGTTAAAATATTGAACTATCAACAAGTATTTTACTATAAGTTTTAACAAAACTTTAAAAAAGTTTCATTAAATGGATTATGATGGAAAAAAAACACTTACAAATTACAATAAACAATTATTTAGTAATAGTCTATGTCTTGGGAAGTTCATCACCAGGACAAAAATAATGTTCATTAGCTAAACGCACTTTTCGCACATTTTTTTTATCATCAAAATTTAACGGGTTTTCTAATTTTCTTAATTCATTCATCAAATTCAATTCAAAACCTGTAATTTATAAAAGTAAAGTAAAACATTTGTAATATATAAACACACATTTTGATGTAAAATTGAACTACTAATAAGAAATAGCACTAACTTTTAGGATCGAATAAATCAGTTGTAAATTCATAGGAACCGCAGTCCCAAAATTCTTCTTCTTTAAAATAAGTATCTTCTTGCTCTTCTCTGAAAATATTTTAAAAATTATTTATAATATATGATGTTAAGATTACAAAAATATGACAGTCATATTAAACAATTATAAGCATTTAATATAACTGATGAAAAGGAAAATTGTATTTTATATTAGGTAATATCATAACATTACATGTTATATTAGGTATAATAAATTATATAATAATTTATAGAATAATTTTCTATTGTTCTTTGTTTTGTTTGTTTTAGAGTTAAAATTTTCCAAAGCACAGAGGTTTTGCATATTTTTTCTAAAAGACAGCAATTATATTTATTTATTTAATTATCTTAATATCTATTGGAGCTATACCTGAATGTAGATTTAAATTTTAGGAGCTCAATCACAATTTTAAGTAATCTAATAAAATATCTAATGCTTGGAGATTCACGAATAGGCTCTTAGTGGCATTTGAGGATATAGGAACAATTTGGGGACACAAAGGAAGCAATTTATTGCATCATCATAATTTTATAAAAATAATTAATCATTACAGTGCATCCAAGATAAGTACATCCAACAAGAATCTTGAAGACTTATCATATTTTGAAAACAATCTTTGATGTTTTATAAAAATCTTAATTTAAGATATTACCTACTCATTAAATTATAATTACTCTCTACTAACTAATAAACAGAAAATAGTGTAGTATTTTAACTAATTATTAATAATTACTGAAAATTCCATTTCCCCATTACTCCCACTCCTTAATTAAATCAACACAATCATCTTATATCTTCCAACCATTCATACCATATTTAATATACAACTTCTTAATTGTATTAATAAACTTATGATAACATGTAATATGTTGATGAAAAACATAATAAATGAAAAAAAAAAAAAATAATAATTACTGTAATATTAACAAAATCACTGTATTAAATAGTTTATATTTACTAACCCGTGAATACTGTCTTCTGAGTAATGCGATGACAATGATGACCACCGATTACCTAAATTACATGAAATAAACAGCGAACATAAAATAAAACAATATTTCAACTAAAAATTGCAATATTAGCTAAATATGCTTACTGAATCCTTCTGTTTCAGATTCAATATCATTAAGTTCTTCAAAACATAAAGGTCCTATAATACGAGTTTCAGTAATTGATGAGCGCAGATTTTTTAACAACTCTGAATAATTGGCCTATTAAGAAATGAGAATAAAATAATACAAAATATGTATTAATCATATACTATTTGTTTACAAAGTAATAGAAAAGGCACAATCTAAAAAGTGTCTGAAAACAATCTGAAGTTAATGGATTTCCAGAATAGTACCTATTGAAAATAATACAGAAATTGTCAAATGCATGATTCACAAGGAACACTTCAAAAATTATTTGTGAACAAAAGTGCTTATTATCCATAAGCAATTACAATTTTTTTATCAATAAAACATTTAATATAGGCCTGCTCTCAGACAATAATTTACTTTAATTGTATATCTATCAGTACTAGTCTTATTATTTTATTTAAAAATTTTTTAAACCAATATCTATAAGCTTGCCACTTTACAAATGTATTTAGGTATTACCTTGTTAAAGATATATACTACATTATATAAATTATAAAAAACCACACACAATATTCAACTAATAAAATGTTCTTCATTCAATTTAAACAAGTCAACTTTAAAAGCACATGTCAAAATGATGGTTTTATGTTGTTTGTTCTATAGATCCACTATTCGTTGATTTACTTAAATCTACCATTATGAAGAATGTTTGGAACATAAAATCTTGATCTATCATAGTAATATAGTATCATATTAATACTTACTTTAATATTTAAATAAATATTATCTTCAGTAGAAAATAAATTTTGTTCTAGATCAAGTAATTTTATACTAGAATTTATGTTCCATGATGTACATGTATCTAATTTATTAGCATATAAATCCAAAATCTCTAGGTTTGATAGGTCTTCAATAACTTTTGGAAATGTTGATAACTAATAAAAATATTAAATAAAAATATATAAAATATTTATTTACTACTTATTAAACATACCTACCCAATTATTATTTAATATTAAACTTTTCAAATTCTTTAAGCTTTTAAAACTTTCAGGAATCGTTAAAATATGATTATTCGAAAAATCACAGACTTCCAAGTTTGTCAATTCACTTAAGGAATCTGGCAATAATGCAATAGAATTATTAGAAAAATTCAAAAAACGTACACTAGGCAAACTGAAATAAACAAATTTTCCGATGCTTGATAGATTGACATTGATCATACTTAAAGAATCAACAAATTTAAATCGATAATTAAACACTAGTGGTACATCAGAGTAGTAATTATGACAGTTTTTTATCATTGTAACTTTGTTGTCTAAAACCAAATTTCTTAGGTTTTTTAAATGTTTGATAAAATCTAATTTTCTAACATCAGAATTTGTATTGGATAAATCCAAATACTTCAGATGATTACCAATACCATACATGTTCAGATAAGGATCCACTGCAATATTGTCCAGACAATTTGTAAACGATATATCCAATGACTCTAATGAATTACATTCAATTGACCATAACCATTGTGGAAGGCAATTCAGTTTTGAATTATTACTGATATTTAAAATTAGTAATTGTTGAACACAAAATGGTTTTATGCTGATATCCGAGAGCTGGTTGTGAGATAAATTAAGTGTTTTTAAGAAGTGCATCCCATCAATTAAACACTGGGGAACTTGTGAAAATTTGTTATGCGACAAGTTGAGATCTGTTAAATGTTGAAATTTGCTAAATGACAATGGCAGCGTTTCCAATTCATTTGATGATAAATCAAGTTTGACTATATTTACAAGATTCACGATAAATTCAGGTACTTCACAGATACTACTAGAACTTATATCTAGTGTAGTTAAATTATCTAAACACGCATTGATGTTGCACAATTTCTGGACAGTATGGAATGTTGGATGTTGCAGACATTTATCACAGCAGCTGCAACTGCATTCTCTGGAAACCTCCATAATTGCTCAACGAATATAAACACTGTACCTATAACGCAGATAGGTTTTTAAGCAATAAGTCGAAAAAATTTAATGATAAAAGAGAATCGGTGTAATTGCAATGACTATTATAAATACATACTCAAACAGTGGATCGACGTTCGACACAAGCAACAACAAAAAAATAGCACCAGTATTGTTCGATGTTGGTATAGTAGTATTAGACAATAATCGCAAGTCACAATAGTAAATAGACCTAAGGCACCTCTAACATAACATTTGGACACATGTTCTATAATTTATTCATCAATAATATATGGGTCTATAATTCAGTCATAGAAAAAAAGACTTCTGTATCTCTGTAATCGACTTATCGTATATTGTTTAAGACAAGTATATTTTTGTATTACCTCGTAGATAATAAAGACGAAATTTGAAAATTTGATAATAAAGATAATTCGGTTGTTATCTATATTGGGTCTCTCTAACATAGATAATATATATATATCTTTTTATTATCTATGCTCTCTAATAGATTACAATAATATAATATAGTGCCTTATCTCTACGGACTATACGAGTCTGTACCAGACGTGTACCCACTACCCACAGCTATTGCTGATGTATAGACATAATCGTCAATCGACTGATTATACCGCAGACCACAGTCCACAAATTAAGATATTATTTAATTATGAATACTGAGTAATACTGACAATCTGCGATAGCCGATAACTATCATGTACTATTCGTGTAGTCAAGACATGAGCCGAGATCACGATTTAAGATACTATCTTTTTAAGTTTTAAAGAAATTAAATTATTATTACGGTATTGCCATAGAATATACGAAATAAATAATATATTGTAATAAAATATAAAAAAAAAAAATATTAAATACAATAATATGTAATAAATATTTTGTGGTATTAGCAAATACATTAAAATCATTACCTAAGTATTTGGCACATACATACTACTATACATTTTTGTAATTATAATTTTTTGTTGTACTTGGTATTATCATTGTTCATACACCATACTAAAATAAAAAATATTAAAATATTAAATAAATATACAATATATTATATTTTTGTACATTTATACTTAATTTGATAACAATATCAATGTAGTATCAATAATTGATTAAATACAAGCATTGTAATACAAATATTATAATGTTATTATTAATGTTGCAATTATTTTAATATTTGTTTTTAATCAATGCTGCAATATTGTCAATATTGTACATTTCTATTTTCTATTGAACTCCTAAAACTACCAAAGGGCACTTTCTGTCCTACGAAGGCCTATCTAAGTATTATTATTGTTAGTATAATTTATTATATTATGTTTGCTTTCACTATTTTTTTTGAAGTTAGATGTTTTGTTTTGTTTTTGTGAATATTTTTAACTTGCAAATTATATGACCATTATTATTATCTTATTTAGAAATAAATTATATAGTTTATTTAAAATTTAAATTTCAAAAATTCAAAATTTTATTTTAGAAACTATATTCAATATTTTTAGTCTGGTAGTTCTTATTACTGTATTATATTGTAGGTATATATTATCGTGTATCCCAGCTGTGAAATTTCGAGTTAGTAGGTATACCTAATGGTGATGATACCGCTACGACGTAATAAAAAATTCAGAAGTGGGTTAGGTAGGTCTTGGAACATACTAGTATACTGCATAGTGTATAATGTATATAATATATAACGGGAAATTAGATAGCCAGGTAAATAAACACAAAACTAATAACTAAGCTTATTTTACAATCTTTTACACACTCTCCTCTCCAATCATTCTTTCGCCCTCTCTGTCTCCATCACGATCCCATGTAAGCAATATTTTTGTTAGTTTGTCATTACAACCATGATGATATCACCCATTGACGCGGATGTAGATAATGTATAGACAATAGACATACCTTTTTTAAAAAATTTCTTTGAAATTTATAACAAAATATAGAAATATACCCAATTGAATCAATAAAATTAAAAAACGAACTTAATTATCTATATGAGCTCTACAGTACCGGGATCTGTCTAATTTATTTCTATAACGATTAGATATCTTAGGTTCTGAGTGGAAGGATGAATGTATTGTTTTTTCAATGATGTATGTTTTTGACTTTTTATGTGGATTGTCCGACATTGTTTTTAGATGCAATAAAAATGCTTCGAACTTCAACTTTGAGAGTGTTTTTTTTAGGAGATATGGTACTTTTGTGGGTCAAAAGTGGAAAAATTCCAAGTAATTTTCAGTTTTCAAAATAATCAGAAGAAATTAATTTATAAAAAAATAGAAATATTTATGGAACACCAACTTTCAACAAAATTGTTAATATTCTTTTATTACAAACCAAAAATTGTAAATACTTGACATTTTCTCAAATCTTTTAGATCTAATTAATATGTTTATAGATATCTTAAATTGTCAGAATAAAGTTTAAATATATGGAAATTGAATAAGTAACGATTTTCCTATAAGCTGATATTACGGTAGGTAACTAAATAATATCGAAAACATAGTGTTTGAAAGTAAAATGTTGTTAAAATTGTATATTTAAATAAAAAATAATTATTTCTATTCTAATAATTTTATAGTGATTGTGAATTAGTGAAAAAATATTACAGGGTTTTGAAACTCTTCGGTAAATATGCCTATATATTATTATTTTCTAATGTCTATACTGTCTATATACACAATGCAATTTTCAAAATGCTTAGACTTATTTTAAGCCACCTATTTATACTAAGTATGTTAACACGAAATTATCCACACTGTTGTACGGTAGGGTTATAAACTTATAAGTTATAAATTATCAGTTGATAACAACAAGTAATATTAGCCATTAGGTATCTGGTATACATGAAATAATATTATGATGATACAATTATTTATAACTTTATTTTATTTTATTTTAACTTATGCTATGTTTATGAAAAAAATTAGTTTAATCTATGTACTACTGTATTAAGTGTATTACTAATAGAAAAATAAATAACCGTACTTATTATATGTGTAAAGTATAAATGGAGGCCTCAGAAATAAAGGCGGACACACTGTCTCCACTCAGAATCGTTTTCATGCGATAAACGTATTTTATATATTTTTTAAATATAAAAGAAAAAACCTTGTTGTTTACTTATAACTTATAAATTATTTTTTTATTACAATCAAATCCGTTCTCTATAGTTATAAGTTATAGTGAATACGTGCATATTATAGATAGCTTAAAATTAATTTAAATATTTGTTTATTGATAATAATAATATAGGTATATCCATGTAAAAGCAAAATACGAATAATATGTTTGATTTAATACAAATTAATTAAAATTGTTATTTTTGTTTAAATATTTAACTTGGTAAAAAATTGAAATTGAAATGCTTACAAAAATTTTTTTACACTGTATATGTACATACTATATTACTGTTAATTATAATGATATAAGTAATTATATCAATCATATATATCGGTATTCGCCATTCGGTACCTACTTATAGTTAACTCAATAAACTGCGGGATCTATAATATATTATCATATTATATTGTTATAACTCAGGTCCATACCAGACTCTTATAATAATTTTTTGGTATTCTTTGTTGGGGTGGGGAGGGGGCTTAGATCCTTTCTACCCCGTCTCTATTTGAGCCTATGACAGCCGCTGTTAGTTGATAAAATTTAAAAGCCCGAATCTCAAATATTAACAGCATAAGTTGATATGAGTCAATACATATTTTTATAATGAACATTGTATTATACTATTATATTGTGTAGCCCATGTGAGTGTATTTTGAGTATTTCAAAATTGTAAATTACTTGTACATTTTAAAATACTCATAACTCGCTTCAAATATTATAATGCCTAGATATTAGATAATGATCTTTAAATTGTATAATGGGTCAATTCACTCTAATTTTTAAATTAACGGAGCTAGAGTCGTTTACTGAGCATAAAATTAGTTACGTTATGCACTTGTAAGACGGAGACAACAAATGCCCTTGTAACGTCCTTTTAAGACTGAAAACATGAAACTTGCAAATTAAAATTATGTATTGATAATAATAATATTCTTTATTTACTGGAATACAACTTAATTTCACATTATATAAATAATAAAGAACAGATTTGAGGGTAAAATAGTTTTTGGTTTCACAAATTTATAATTTGACAAACAAAAAATTATAATATAATAATGATAATAATTAATAATAATAATAATAATAATGATAATATTAATAATTTAATAAGAAAAAGGGATTAGAATTTAATTGTTTTAGCTTTAATATATTTATATAATTATATTTCAGCAGCTAACAGCCAACAGGTCAACAGTATCTATTACAGGTTATTACGTGAACATCAAAACGTAACAGTAATTTTGAGTGTATGAAAATATGATATAATCAAAACTTTATATCATAACACACGCAAAGCTCAATTTTGAACAACGCCCAAAAGAAAAATTGTGATTCGTCAAACTATCAGTCCACAGATATAATCTCATGCTAATAATTTTAAGTGGATTGGTATATTAGATAGGTATATAAATATAATTTTTGTTATTTACAAAATAATAGCAACAGGTTTATAATTACACAAAATTCATAATATCAACTTAAATATCACAGAAAATATTCTTTTTTTCTGAATCAGCTGGATTATATTATGTCTTTTAAGTGATAACTGATAACCTTGTACCTATAATATATAATAATATTATATATTTAGTTACCTATTCTAAAAATGGTTGTTGCATAAATGTCGAATATTGAACATTTGAACCAACAATTAATTATTTATAAGTACCTATTTAGAGATTTAGATAATATTACAGTGAAATAGAGCGAGTAACAGGTCACAGTGTATATAGTAGGTACAATTATTGATATTCATAATAATATGTTGGCGCTACGCTGCAATTTTGATCATCAAAACCAAAATTAGGTACTTAAATATTATGAATAATAAGCTGTTGCCTGTTGATTAAATAATCAAAAGTAGTTAATACTTTTACTGCATGATCGTAATCCATCTTAAATTTCAATATACCATACAATATTCTTGTTGAGAATATGAAATTAATACAAAAAGGTATAAACATAATCTTCTATTTCAAAAATAACTAAAAAATTAGTGTAATAAGAATATAGATTATTCTAAAAAGACTGAAAAAATGGAAACCAAAATAGATATTATGTTTCTTAGGTATTTTGCAAAGTAAATAAATATATTATATAGGTACATGTAAATAATATGTACAATATAAATATGTAAATTTAGGTACATGAATCATTGACGGTTGGACGGTTGTGTTAAAAAAATGACTCCGTACACACATATTTTATATGAAGAAACTATTTTATTAATTTTATTTTGTTATAAGAAATCTTACAAACACAGCTACCGTATATAATAAATCCATTATTATAGTTCATTAGCACGACGTAAAGTAAAATGTTGCATAGTATAGAACATCTTAAGGCTGAACTTATTAGCACTTTTCGTTCTCGATCAACATTGAGATTTGAGACTGAAAAAATCAAGATTAATGTGATATTATTGAATATGTTGCTTCACAAAAATCAAGAAATGAAATCTAAACTTAAGAGGATGCTACCCACACGTGTGTTGTCTTCGTCTTACCAACTTACGACATACCAAATGTTCGTTCACTAGTTTGAATAGTGTGCCGTTGGTTTTGATATTAGAGTGAATTTAAGTATTATTAAAGTTTTAGGTAGGAACATTATAATATATGTTTAAGTGTT